TTCAAGCTCAAGATGTCCAAATGTCAGTGGGGACGGGACAAAGTGGCCTTTCTGGGACATACGGTGACGCCGGGAGGGATCCTCCCGAACCCCGAGAAGGTGAAGTCGGTGCTCAAGATCAAACCACTGAAGAACATGGCTCAAGTACGGTCCTTCCTGGGTCTGGCCGGGTACTTTCGACGCTTCATCAAGGGGTATGCACTCATCTTGCGGCCCCTGGAAAGTCTGAAGGTGACCGAGGAGTTTGAATGGACTCCCGAATGTCAAGACGCCCTAGACACTCTCAAACGAAAGTTGGCAAGTCCCCCAATCCTGGCCTACCCGGATTTCGAGCTCCCGTTCACAATCTTTGTGGACGCGTGTCCGATCGCGTTGGGCGCCGTTCTGATGCAAGAACAGGGTGGACGGCACCGTGTCATCGCGTACGCCAGCCAAGCCTTGGACGCCACCCAACAGAGATGGATCTCGAAGAAAGACGGGACGTCTGAGATCGAATGCTTCGGGCTGGTGTGGGCCACAAGCAAGTTCCGACCCTATATCGACCGCCGACACTTCACGGTTTACACTGATCACGCTGCGCTGGTCTGGCTGTACAAGACGGGATCGAAGTCGGGAAACGGGAAGCTGGCTCGGTGGGCCGTTCACCTACAAAGCCTGGACTTCACGGTGGTGCATCGTCCCGGAGTGCAAATGGGGTGTGCGGACGGTCTGTCGAGACTCCCGTTGGAAGAGGAAGCGGACGAAGATAACCCTTTGGCCTCTCGATGGGACCACGAGGCGGACGAATTCATAGCCCAGCCGGTGCCGCGTGGAGGGCCCCGAGCGTGCTCGATCGCCCGAGGATTGGTCGGGGCCGTGACTCGAAGTCAGACGAGGGCGGCGGAAGCAGCCATGAAGGACGCTACGCCCGAAAATAGGACGACGAATGCCGAAACGGGACGGGATCCAGAACATGAGCCGCCTCCAAGGACCGACGTGTTGCCTCCGTACCAAGACGACACGTACGTACTCCCGGACGCTGTGCTTCGACGGGAACAAGATAAAGATCCGTTCGTGAAGGCTATGAAGGCAAATTTGGACTCCGGGGCCCTGCCCATGGACACATGGCGCGTGGTGTTGAAGTCCCCTTTACGAAACCCGTCGCTGAACCTCGTGCCCGTGATCCCGGTGTCGATGACGACCGACGTGCTGGCGCTGTGCCACGACTCGCCGTTGTCTGGGCACTTCGGACGCGAACGAACGATGGAACGGGTGCGACGCATCGCGTTTTGGCATCGGTGGCGTGAGGACGTGATCGAATACTGCCACTGTTGTGTGCGATGTGGGGCGGCGAAAGGATCCCGACCTTGGAAACAAGGGCGGCTCCAACGCATGCCGGTGTACGAGCTGCGAGGCCCGTTCAGTTTTCTGGTGGTCGATGCGTTGGGCCCCTTGCCGACGACCCCCGGGGGGAACAAGTTCGTGATCGTGTTTGCTGATTATTTCACGCGCTGGGTGGAGGCTGTCGCAGTCCCGGACTTGAAGACCTCGACCTTTCTCAAGGTCCTCTCCGACGAGGTGATTTGCCGATACGGAGTCCCGGACAAGTTGTTGTCAGACCGGGGTTCCAACTTCGTGTCTAAGCTGGCTTCGACCCTCTACACGACTCTGGGAATCGACAAGTTAGCCAGCGCTCCCGGACACCCCCAAGGTCAGGGCTTGGTCGAGCGGTTCAACTCCACGCTGGCAACCATGATCAAGATGTACGTCAACTCGGCTCAAACCGACTGGGACACGTATCTCCCTCGACTGCTGTGGGCGTACCGGACGGCGTACCAGGAGACGCTTGGAGACACCCCGTACTTCTGTCTATTTGGACGGGATCCGGTGCAACCTCTCCACCTGGCCTTTGTCAACCAAGAACCCTTATGGAAGACTGACGAACTGCCCCAATGGCGAAGACGGCAGAGTGCATGGTTCCGGACAACGAGACGACTGGTGGAGGCTCAACTCCTTCAAGGGCAAAACCGGGATGCCGTCTCGAAGAACCAACAAAGGAAGGTGACATTTGAACCTGCTGACTCGATGTGGGTGTATCAGTACTTCCACAAGTCCCGGGACCCCAATGACACGCGAGTGAAGAAGTTCTCATACCATTGGCATGGTACCGGATTCTAGCGCGCCAAGGCGATAACACGTACCGCGTCTACCTACCTACCCACTCGGATCGAGTGGTGCCCATCAACGTCGACCGACTCAAGAAGTATCGGGGACAATGGACGCGCCCTTTCAACCATGAGATACCGGACGGGTATGACGGGAGTCCCGGAGAAGCATGGGGCGACGAAGATACAGTCCTGGACGACGAGTTGCTACCGGACGACTGCCTGATTGAGCGTGTGGAGTTACAAGACGGGGACGTAGCGTTCTCTAACTCGTTGTCTGCTGTTACAGCCGTCCTGGATCGTCGCTACGGGATTGCCCAAGGACGGGAATACTTGGTGGAATACGCCGACGGTCTGGTCGACTGCGTGCCCGAGTCCAAGCTGGGTGACTACCGCCCCTTTGTCAACGAGTACAAAGACCGTACTCGGGAGAGGGCCAGGCTTCCAGTGCTACAGTGCAGTCCTCGTCTGTCCCAACTCGACGAAGAGGCTGAAGTACGGGAGTACTAAGGCCCTACTTCGCGCCTGCCAGTGTCGGTGGGAGGCGAAGAACTGCATGTTTGCTTGTGTGCATGAATAAACGAAGAATCAAGAAATGAATTAGCTCGTCCGAGCTATCAAGGCCCGTCAGTATCCAAAACATGAAGCGGCACGGGATGCCGCGTGGTGGCGTCGACTACCTCTAGTCGTCCTTGGTCTCGTCGTCGGCTGGCGCTGGAGCGCCTCCGGGAGGCGGCGAGAGTCCATGCGTCCACTGAGATGCGGTTGGCAAAGGCGCGGGTCCGGGTCGACCACGAATGGGTAGCTGGGGGCCTAGACCGGGTTCTTCATGAAATCGTTCGCGACTTTCAAGATCTCGGCGGCGGCTTCATTGACGGTGGCGCGGGTGACGTCGCGAGATGGGGGCGACGTGAAGCGCTGCAGTTGATACGACCGGATGCCCTTCGTCAGGAGCTCCAGGGCCGGCATCGCTGGGGAACACCAACGACTGCCGTCGGCCATCACGGACGGGACTTTCGGCCACGACTGCAAGCCCTCGCGGGCCAAATACGCGACGACTGCGGGTGCGCCGCGATGCTTCTCGACGACATAGCTTCCTATTGGTCCGAACCCGGAGTTTCGGACTTAAAGAGGGGAGATTGTCGCGGTGTGTTTTACCGACACGACTTCTACGGGATACCGAAGATCCGTAGAGTGCGTGTCGGAAAGACGGTCATTGGCGACTGGATTAGCCCCCCAATCCGGAATTGAGGATGGATGAGTCTACGGGTACGCGAAGCGACACCAAGTCCCATCACTCTCATGTTGACGACCACACTGTCGTCACGTGGGGTGCAGCGGCGGGGGTTGTGGACCTCGACGACAAGAAGCTACTGGAGTGGTCGGACCTGCCTTTCCTTCGAGGGACTGGCTGTGGGCCGACTGTGTGCTTAGACGACGATAAAATTTAACTTGACTTTACATTTTACCTGGGAATACAGACTCCTGTTTGTGTTCTCTTTCTCGCGCTTGCCCACGCCACACGTACCAAGGTATTTTTTCACGGAAATCCCCGTGACACTACCATTTTACCGATTGCTTCGAATTTTCAATATTCAACCAGAAGACATTCATCCACTAAAACTTCTCGCTGGAGTGATCATTCCCGGACAAAGGTAGTACAGTGTACTGTACGACATGCCGACCATGTACCCCTTGTTTAAGCTACAGCTCATGAATATTGGGTTCCGGGGTTTCGGGGTGTAGCGTCTGGCGGAAGACGACGACCAAGAGGAGGGGTAGAAGGCTTCCCGGGAGCGGAGGGCGCGACTCCTGTGGGGATTGACGTCGTAGGAGTCGCAGATGCAGGCGCGTGATAATGATTAAGTTTGCCGACGTAGTAAGTCGGGTGCACATTCCAATCCTCAGGAAGTTCGAGTTTGTAAGAAGTCGAATTTACGACATCGAGATCGGCAAATGGGCCGTGCCAATTGGAGCGTAGTTTGGCGTTCGCGCCGGCCCCAGGAGCGCGCACACGACAGGCGTGACCGGGGAGATCCGATTTGTGGAGGAGGACAGATCGCCGACAAAAAAGTCGGAAAGTTCGAGCGACGTGGCGGTCGGTTGCGTCGCCTGTCTTTGCTGAGCGATCGCAAGGTTGTCCTTGATCTGTTGTAGCACATATTTGCGATGAGTAAGGCAGACCGTCAGGTCCACGCGGGAAGGTCGCGGGATGTGTCGATTGCTTCGATTGCCGGAGGAACAACCGGTAGCGTATTTTCCCTGAAGCGGGACTGTCGAGAACCTGTGGAATGCGAGTGTGCTGTAAATGGACAGCATTGTGGGGTGCGAATCCCTTGGAAGTCTGGACGAACGAGTTGTACACAATGACGGCTTGGGGCAGAAGAGTAGCCCACTTGGCGGATAGTTGTGCCACGGAATACGCACACAAAATGCCTTCGAACGCGCGGTTGGCACGTTCTGTCTGGCCATCAGACTCAGGGTGGTCGGACGTAGACATGGCAATGTCGGTGTCACAGAGCTCGAACAGAGCCGATCAGAAGTGAGACATGATGCGGGGTCGGGGTCCGAAACGAGGGACCGCGGAAGGCCAGATTGGCAAAAGATATGATCAAAGAAAAGGCGAGCGGCGTCGATGCCGCTGATAGACTCCTTGACCAGGATGGCCACGATGTATTTGGACGCCCTGTCGACACAAACCATGATACCCTTGTGACCACGAGGGTCAAGCGGGAGGCCAAACACAAAGTCCACGATGAACGATGACCAAAGCTCATCGGGAACCGGCAAGGTTGTAAAGGCGCCTTAGAGGAAATCGCGATCTGGCGCGTTGACAAGCGTCGCAGTGGGTGACGTGGCGGCCTACAGCTTTGCATTGGCGAGGCCACCAGTATTAACCTGACAACGTAGAGTACATTTTGTCGCGGCCGAAGTGGGCGCCGTTGGGTGAATCATGGTACGCGCGCAAAAGGTAGGCACGAATCGCAGAATCCCCAGGGACAACAATGCGCGGAGGTGTGTCCCGGGTGAGCTGAAAGTAGAGCTGGCCATCTCGAACAGAATAACGATGAAGTGTGGATGGTGAGCGCCGAGGCTTGAGAGGCTCGGGGGCTGTGTGTGCACTGAACACGGCCGAGCAAGTCGTGTCAAGGGAATAGGCAGCTAGGATGCGATCATGGAGATCGGAGTGGAGAAAGCCGATCGAGGCAAGGTCTAAGTAATCGGGACGTCGAGAAAACGCGTCAGTCAAGAAATTGTCCTTGCCCGGTTTGTACTAAACCAAAAAGTTATATTCGGCGAAGAAGGTAAGCCAGCGAGCCATGCGAGTTGACATGTGTGGCGTCTTGACGGCAGTCCGCAACGACACGTGGCCAGTACTTACGATGGGGGTCCGCGCCGATGAGGTAGACGCGAAACTTAATGAGGGCGTTCACCAAATGCATTCCACTTGGTATGGAGGCGGCAGTCTTCGGCACGTCACAAAGGCGCGTGAGGATTTGATAGAACCCATCGCACAGGTCGATGGCAGTGAATATGGTACGACGGCGGCGTCTGTTGGTGGGTCAAATTACGAGGATGCAACCTCTCGGAGTGAAGTGCCGACGTGGGCTAGGAAGACAAGTGTGGTGGACGGATAACGTCGAATGCTGTGAAGCCTTATCAAGTCGGATCCACGGCTGATCATTGTTCACCCAATCGACCTAGTGGATTGATTTGAGTTTCCAATCGATCCAAGGTTGATTGGCTTCGAGGCAACACATTCCAAGGATGAGGTTCCAACAATCACCCAAATCGATTACATACTAAGAACGTTTCGAGCGAGTCGAAATCATCGAAGGTAACAGGCAGCGTAACCACTAAGAGCTACTGGACGGGGATGTGGCTATCAGCCATCTTTACGCGAACAATGTCAAGGGAACATGAAACAGTGAGAGAGCCAAAACGAGGAAGAGTGGAGCGATTAGAGTAGTACACTGAAGCTCCTAAAAATCCAGCCTCAAAGAGCCCCCATTTCAATGGCAAGCCATATAACCTCCGTCAAGGTTATTATGACTCTACGAACGAATATACTCCTTCGAAAACACTTTATCAATTGTCGGAGACTATAACTATTTAGGATGCAAATTGACTATCATCCTTGACTATGCTTACCATTTCATAAAGAGTACCTCCTCTGTTCGAGTTTACTGGCAACATTTGAAAATCACACTTTTACCACTTTACTGGCAACATTGCAATTT